GACCCCTCCTTGGGTTTCTGAGGTGGTAGCACTACGGAAGTAGATTGCCCAACCTTCCTTCTGAGGAGTTCAAACCACCAGCCTTCTGGTTAGCAGTCAAGTGCCTCATGCTACCAGAGCTCCTATACTGTACCGCATATCACATCAAAGTGTGTCCCCTTTTCCTGCACTCCTCAATAAGTGGACTCTGCCTTGCCTCTTCTACTTCCCTAACATCACTTATTCATTGTAGTTGGCCAGCCTCTTTGACATCTTCACATAGAGACAATTTTGAGTGTGGCCTCCATGGCTCCACTCACCTGCGAGGCCATCCTTCTCCATTCTTCTTTCCTGGCCATCCTATCAAAACTCACCCAAGAAACTATATTTTGTATTTTCTACTTGTGAGGTCAAGTTGCAGAACACTATGTAAAAGACCATTTACATAAAGATACATGAGAAAGGTACAGTATATTATCTGTGGGCAATTTGCATGTGACTATAAATGTATTTTTATAATAAACATGAACCTTGAAGAATGAATGGATTTTAAAAGTCCCAAGTAAATGGACATGCCTGGCACGTTGAGCACTGCAGGTTAGCCCAGCCTGGAAGAGAGAAAGCTGTAATGGATTGAACAGTGTCCCCCCTAAAGTATGTGTTGTAAATCCTAATCTCTATACTTGTTAGTGGGAGCTCTGGTAGCATAGTGGCTAAGACACTTGCCTGCTAACCAGACGGCTGGCGGTTCAAACCCACCAGCCACTCCTCGGAAGGAAGGTTGGGCAATCCTACTTCCGTAGTGATACTGCCTCGGAAACCCAAGGAGGGGTCGCTATGAGTCGGGGCCGACTCGACGGCACATAACAACAACAACAACAACATACTTGTTAGTGCAATCTTGCTTGGGAATAGACTTTTCTTTGTTCTGTTAATGAGTTTGTATCACTGTAGAGTGTGTTCAAGCCAATCACTTTTGAGATACAAAAGGAGTAGATTAAGCAGAGAAGCAAGGAAGCACAGAGGACAGTGGAAGGGGGACAGACACATGTGAGAATCATCTACAAGCCAAGGAACCAAGGAATGACTACCTACAAGAAACTACTCAACACGGCCAAGACCTTGATTTGGACTTGTAGCCTCCCGAACTGTAAGAAAATTAATTTCTGTTCTTTAAAATCATCCACTTTGTGTTAGAGCAGCACTAGGAAACTCAGGCAAGACCCCAGAGGGGATTGTTGGTAATTAGCAACACTCAACCTATGTGGTGCAGTGAATTACTATTATATGGCCCTTCCAGCCATGGTCATGTAACCACTACAAAGTGATTGAGTGGGGCTATGCAAGTAAAGTATTTGTGGCCCACCAAGGGGATTGGACAGCCTGCTAATACAAAAAAATGTACATAGAACCCTTGCAGCAGATTGGTCATTTTTGCCATTCCACTAGGTTTAAAGCGAGCCAATTCTAGAGGTTTGGGTGGGGGAACCTCACTAACATCAAAAAAAAAAAAGAGCCAAGAGCAGAGCATGTCCTTTGGACTCAAGGTCCTGGTGCTGAAAACCTCCTAGACTCAGGAGATATTGTGAAATGGCAGGAAGCAGCGGCAAGCCCAGCAAAGGCCACCAAATGTAGAACTAGAAGACTGGCACAAGACAATCCCAGCGAGTGAGGGAGCCCCTGTGCTCAGGGAGCAAGAGAGACCTGCACAGCTTTGGGAAGGAGGCCTGTTCTGGAGTGGGGTGCCTCCAGGCACTTATTGACAGAGCTAAAGAAAGAGCTGTAACCCTTGCCAGAACAGGGCAGGGTCTGAGATCCAGGGCCCAGTCTCAGAGTGAGGGCTTAGGCAGAGAGTAAGAGGTCATGCCCAAGCAGGACCCAGTGGCAGAGATCTGCCAGTGGGCACAGACAAAGAAGCTGCTTTGATTGAAAACGGTATTCTGAGTTATTCTTGTTACCTCCAAGTTGATCCTGGTCCTGAATTGTAATCTGTTACTTTCCTTGTAAACCCCATAATCATGAGTGTGGTCTGTGCATTCTGTGTGGTCATTACAATGAACTGTCAAACCCAGGAGAGAAGTAGGGAGTGCCATGGGAGTAATAGCTAGTGTTAGAATTGGCTGAAAGCCTGGAAAATGGAGACATTTCTGGCCTCTACCACATAGGAATCAGGTTTGGGCTGATGTTGATTGATTCTCCTCCCCTCTTCATGAAATTAGAGGACTTCTGATCCCATGCCATATTTATACCCTGGAAATTAATATCTTTCTCTTTTCTCTTCCTTTCATAGCCCCCTTTTCTTCCTCCCTTGCCCCCTAGAGCAGTGATGTCTAGAGGAGGGGTAGAGAAGTATGGCCTGTAATATGCAATTCCATTCACTTACCTCCCCTGTGGAGATGTGTGTCAGAGACTTAAATTGAATCAGCTTCTCAAAGGCAAGCAAGGAAACAGCTGTGCGAAACCTTATGCCTGAGTGCTGGTTGATGACCCAACATAAGCACAGAATCACAGACTTCAAGCTCTCGATGAGAAAAAGGGCAAAGCAGAGCCCCACTCCATAGGCAACATTCCCTGTCGGCTCCTCAGAATATTCCAGAATCTTTGGTATAATCAGCACCTGAAAGGAAAATGGAGTTTACACCATTCAGACTTTTCAATCTTTCTTTGAGTCAACAAGCAACACAGAGGAGCTGTGTGTGAGATCCTTGAACTAATTAATGTCAGGATCCCTCAAGGACATGGAGGAGATGTGGAAATTTGTTTTGTTGTCATGTGCCATCGAGTCATCTCTGACTCATAGCAACCTTATGTACAACAGAACGAATCACCGCCCAGTCCTGTGCCAGACTCACGGTCCCTACTACACCTGAGCCCATTGCTGCAGCCACCATGTCAATCCATCTTGTTGCGGGCCTTCCCCTCTTTTGTTGACTTTACCAAGCATGACATCCTTCTCTAGAAAATGGTCCTTTCTGACAACTTGACCAAAGTAGGTGAGACGAAGTCTGGCCATTCTCGCTCCCAGGGAGCATTCTGGCTGCACTTCTTCCAGGACAGATTTGTTAGTTCTTTTAGCAGTCCACAGTACTTTCAGCATTCTTCACCAACATCACAACTCAAAAGCATCAACTCTTCTTTAGTCTTCCTTTTTCATTGTCCAGCTCTCACCTGCATATTAAAATACCATGGTGTGGGTTAGGTGCATCTTAGTCTTCAAGGAGATATCTTTGCTCTTCAGCATTTTAAAGAGGTCTTTAGCAGCAGATTTGCCCAATACAATACATCTTTGGATGTCTTGACTGCTGCTTTCATTTACATTGATTGTAGAACCAAGTAATATGAAGTCTTTGACAACTTCAATCTTTTTTCCATCTATCGTGATGCGGCTTTTTGGTCCAGTTGTGAGGATTTTATTTTCTTTATATTGAGGTGTAATCCATACTGCAGACTGTAGTCTTTAATCTTTATCAGAAAGTGTTCCAAGTCATCTTCACTTTCAGCAGGGAAAGTTGTGTCATCAGCATATCACAGGTTGTTAATGATTCTTCCTCCAATCCTGATGCCATGTTCTTCTTCATGTAGTCCAGCTTCTTGGATTATTTGCTCAGCATACAGATCAAAAAAGTATGGTGAAAGAATACAACCCTGACACACTCCCTTCCTGATTTTAAACCATGCAGTATCTCCTTGTTCTGTTTGAAGGACAGCCTCCTGGTCTATGTACAGGTTCCTCATGAGCACAATTAAGTGTTCTGAAATTCCCATACTTCTCAATGTTATCCACAATTTGTTATGATCCACACAATCAAATGCCTTTGCATAGTCAATAAAACCCAAGTAAACATTTTTTTTTATATTCTTTGCTTTGAGCCAAGATCCATCTGACATCAACTATAATATCCCTCGCTCCACATCCCCTTCTGAATCCAGCTTGCATATGGAAGTTTAGTTGGCCCAAATCTGAGCCCCGACACTTACTCAATCTGTATGCTGAGCAAATGGTCCGAGAAGCTGGACCATATGAAGAAGAATATGGCATCAGGATTGGAGGAAGACTCACTAACAACCTGTAGTAAGCAGATGACACAACCCTGCTTACTGAAAGTGAAGATGACTTGAAGCATTTACTGATGAAGATTAAAGGCTACAGTCTGCAGTATGGATTCCATTTCAGCATAAAGGAAACTAACATCTTCACAACTGGACCAATAAGCAGTATCACAATAAATGGAGAAAAGAGTGAAGTTGTCAAAGATTTCATATTACTTGGATCCACAATCAACATCCATGGAAGCAGCAGTCAAGAAATCAGACAATGTATTGCACTGGACAAATCTGCTGCAAAAAACCTCTCTTTAAGTGCTGAAGAGCAAAGATGTCTCTGTGAAGACTAAGGTGTGCCTAACCCAAGCCATGATATTTTCAGTCACCTCATATGCATGTGAAAGCTGGACAATGAATAAGGACAGCCAAAGAAGAGTTGATGCTTTTGAGTTGTGGTGTGGTGAAGAATATGAAAGTACCATGGGACTGCCAGAAGAACTAACAAATATTTCCTGGAAGAAGTGCAGCCAGAATGCTCCTTGGAAGCTAGTATGGCCAGACTTCGTCTCATTTACTTCGGTCATGTTGTTGGATGGGACCATTTCCTGGAGAAAGATATCATGCTTGGTAAAGTGGAGGGTCAGTGAAAGAGGGTCAGTCAACGAGATGGACTGACACAATGGCTGCAGTGGTGGTCTCAGGTATAGCAAGGATTGTGAGGCTGGCACAGGACCAGGCAGTGTTTTGTTCTGTTGTACGTGAGTCGGAGCCAACTTGATGGCACCTAACAACAATAACAACATATAAGGTAAATAGGAGTCCCTGGGTGGTTCAAGCAGTTAATGCAACTAATTGGCTGCTAACTGAAAGGTCAGAGTTTTGAGTCCACCCAGAGGCACCTTAGAATAAAGTCCAGGTGATCTACTTCTGAAAAATTAGTCATTATGCAGCACAGTTCTTCTCTGACAAACATGAAGTTGCCATGAGTCAGAACCGACTCAATTGTAACTGGTAAAAAAAAAAAAAAAATGAGGAAGATGAAGTTGTTATTTCCATTTTATACATGAGGGTTTCCATGAGCTCTACCCCTCATAGTGTCCATGAAGTTCCTTGAGGAAGCTGAGGCACAGAGAGGATAATTAAATTGTCCAAAGTCACCCATAATTTACTGACAGAGCCAAATTTTGAAACCCAAGCAGTGGCTACTGAGCCCACACTCCTAATTATTGTGCATTAAGTCCTCAGAAGCTCTTACTTGGATAGCAGCTGAGAGACGTCCCCAAATCCTGACACAGACTTAAACATGCCACCAGTTCTGTTGTAATCTCCAAACCCTGGAATCCCCCAAATTTCACCGAGTCTGCCACTTACTGGCCCTAATACACTCGCCACACAGAAGAGGAAGCTTGCAAACACATCCATTATAGCCCTTGTTCTTTGGAACCTCAGCATTACTCGAAGTACTGAAGCTTTTTCAATCCCATGTCTTGAGACTTCTTCTTCCCAAAGGAGACGAAGCCTTAAAAAAGAAGAAAAGAGTGCCAAGTGAAATCTCTCTGCATATGCTATCCAGATGTTCTAGGACTTGCTATTCTAATAGCTTTGTTACCAAAGTTTTCAAACATAACAAACATAGAGAGAACAGCATGGGGAATCCCCTATGTACCCATCACCCAGCTTCAGTATTACCAACATTTTTGTTTCATCTCTCCTACCCTTCAAGGTTGTATTATTGTTGTTATTGCTTTTTGCTGAAGTGTTTAAAGCAAATTTCAAAGGATCATATCATTTGATCTATAAATGCTTCATTATTCATCTCTTCCATATAAGGCTTTTTTAAAAAAAAAAAAACTCTTGTTACCACAGTAACAATAATTCCTTAAGTGGCATTTAATACCTGGTTTGTATTCGATTTTCTTTAATGATTTCAAAAGTATGTTTTTGCAGTGAGTTTATTTGAATTAAGACTCAAAGAAAGTTCACACACTGCAATTAAAGGATCAATCTCATATGCCTCTTAAGTCTCATTTTAACCTGTGATAGTTTCCCCTCTTGTGCATATTTATGCTATTTATTTGCTTAAGAAGTTGAGTTATTTATCTGGTAGAATTTCCCATACTCTGAATTTGACTGATTGAATCCCTGTCGTGTTGTCTAACATGGTCTTTCATCATCTGTATTTCCTATTGAACAGGTGGTTAAGAATAGAGGCTTAGTGAACTTCAGAATTCAAGATATTTGGCAGAAATATTTAATAGGTGATATAGAGTACTACCCATTGCATCATATCAGAAGACACAAAAGAGCTGTTGCCCTCCTTTTTAGTAATGTTAAGATTGACCAGTGGTTAAGGTGGATCAGCTTGATCCATTCATTGTCAACTTCTCCATCATTGACCATTGCCTAGATTCACTTCCATTAGACTGGAAAAAATGGTGAATTTTCCAATTCTGTCATTCCTTCCATATTTAGTAGTTAGAATTTTTCTATTAAAAAAGAACTTTTCCTCATCAACTGTTTTGTTACCCCCAAAAATAGTTAGTGCAGGAAATAGTCCAGGGCTTTACATAATGTCACTTTTCCTTGTTATATGCAAATTAAGATTTACAGAATCCCAAACTTTGATTTAAAAAGTCAGCTTCCCCAATATCTATTATTTAAAAGTTCTGAAAAGAATTTGTCAGTTTGGGATAGCCCAGTTAAAAGTATGTTCTTATTTTGACAGTCCACACTAAAGATACCTTGGATATTTGACTTATACCAACAGAATCTACTAACTCACTGCCATCAAGTTGGTCCTGACTCATAGGGACCCCTCCTTAGGTTTTCAAGGCAGTATCTCTACAGAAGTAGATTGCCCAGTGTTCCTTTTGAGGAGTGACTGATGGGTTTGAACCGCCAGCCTTCTGGTTGGCAGTCAAATGCCTTCGGCACTAAGCTACCAAAGCTCCTATACCAACAAAATAGGAGCACCAATTTTTTTCTTCTAATGATATATGTTGTTGTTATTTGCCATAGAGTCGGCCCCGACTCATACCGACACCTCCTTGGGTTTCTGAGGCAGTATCACTACGGAAGTAGGATTGCCCAACCTTCCTTCCAAGGAGTGGCTGGTGGGTTTGAACCGCCAGCCTTCTG